CTTAAGAGTTTCCCATCCTTCTGGGATAAACTACCTGGAAAAAAAATTAAGTGACCTGCCCATAGGAACATAGAGCTGGGACTCTGTACCTAGATATAAAACCTAGGTATCTGTAAATCCCACCTGACCAGAGGATATGAGTACAGAGTTGGCTGTGCCTTTTCACTGAAATCTCTCTGGATCATGTGCCCACTCATGAAGACCCTGAGAACTTCAATATCTGTTTCATACTGAAAATCTCTGGCTCATGCCAGGGGTATGTTGGAGCTGGCCTGAACCAACTTCTGAGAGCTGATTGTTAAATTTTCAGTGTGAGCTTTGTAGCTCAGAAATTGGCAAACATCACATACACCTTAAGGCTTGATTTATGGTTTTCATAATTGTCAAGACTTAAGAAAACGATGGAGAAAATGTTAATAATGAACATTAAACTAAAAGTGTATCGTGTGTATATTCCCCCCGCCCCCAGCCGGTTGTTAAACATTTACCAATATATCACTGTTCATGCCCCAGTTCTGGGAAACATGAGAACTTCATTCTCTGGTTCATTTTATTTCCCCAAAAGGGCATTTAGCTTTTAGCAAGTACTCAGGTTAACAAAAGTATTAAACATAGGAAAAAAAGGTTTATTTACACTATAAAAATTTACATCTAACATAGAGGACCCAGTACTGGATGTTCAGGGGAAGAAGTTCCACTCTACTCCCTACCCTGTACCCAGACGTGAGGTCCTATTCATTAATGGCAATGCTTGGGGGCAGCCAGGTGGCGTTATAGTGCACAAAGCACCAGGCCTGGAGTCAGGAAGACTCATCTTCCTGAGTTTAAATCTGGCTTCAGACACTTAGTAGCTGTGTGACCCTGGGCAAGTAACTTAACCCTGTTTGCCTCAGTTTCCTCATCTGTAAAATGAGCTGGAGAAGGGAATGGCAAACCACTCCAGCGTTTTTGCCAAGAAAACCCCAAATGGGGTCACGGACAGTTGGAGACGACTGAAATAACTGAACAAGATCTTCTAAAGAGAGGAAGCAGGCTCCCCGTTTTCATATTCTTTGGCTCACTAATACCCCCATTTGGGGTTAGTGTGATTTTTGACTAAAGTCTTGGGGCTCCCCAAGAAGGAAGCAGGAAAGGAGGTACTCTGTGTAGGTGTAAGGAGGTTTGACAAAGGCCTAGTAGGGAGAGATTTCAGGCAGGACATCCCGAATCAGGAAGAAGGGCCAGAGAACAGGAGGAGAGTGCCATGTGCAGACAGGGGTCGGGTGAGAGGACATTAGAACTCCACGGGTCTGAGTGAGGTCTCTTACCCAGCTTAGCCAATGACAAGCTCCCCAGGGAGCCAGCACTGTGAACAGCCAAGCTCCTCAAATGGGCCAGCTGTGCAGCTGGACCAAGCCTGGTTAGGGTTCTGACCCCCTGGGCTGGCCTCTGCCAAAATGTTGGGGATGCAATGAATCCCTTCTTCAAGAGCTAGGCTGGGTGGTCTCCACTCAAGGACTTGGAGTCAGGTGGGCTCAGAATGGGCTGGACATTGATGCCTTTAAACAGGACAAACCTGAAATGGGAGGAGAGGGATACAGGATGATGGAAAATAAAGAGGAAACCAAGGAGTGCTAGAGGCTTATGGGACTTGTGGGGGAGTGAAGGGAAATTCCATGGCAGACCATGCTAAAGGGGCTTAGTGGCTGCCCCAAGAAAGACAGGTGGGCAGAGAGTAAGCCTGAGGCAGCCTGGGAACTAAGGGGTGAAAGGCCCCTGCACAGCCTGAAGGCCCTAGGAGCTGCCATCCTGGCCTGGGCATCCCCAGGGATTGCTTGCCTGCTCACTCAGGGGACATGGGTGCCAGGTGTCAGGAGGCGGGGGGGGGGCTGGGGCAGCAGAAGTCCAGGTGGCCCTAGAAGCCTGGGCCAGGGGGAGGATGGGGGACTCAGGGCGTGTGGTTGTGCCTGGGTCCTCGGGAGGGGAGCAGACAGGGCCTGATATGTTATGGCAGGTCCCCCGCTGCCTGGAGCCAGCCCGAAGCGAACACTGCTGATGGCTTTAATTGCTTTCAGATTCGATAGCCCAGCCTGTGACAGGCTCCACGGTGCCACCCGCTGAGCAGCTGTAGAGGAGCCCACTGGCCTTCAGCCCCCTCCCTTCCTGAACTGGACCCTGAACCCCCCACTCCTGCCAGAGCCCAGAGCCCACCACTTCCTATCCCTCTCCCCAATTACCTTTCCTCTATCTAGTACCTTGCTCTTTGCCTAGCTTCCTCACACAGATCCTTTCCTTAAAGCCCAGACACCATACTTCCCCCCACCAACTTAGCTCACCTCCCCCTCTACCGAGCATGTCCTAACACCCTGACATTAACACACCCCACTCCCACTCCCCAAGGACCCAGACCTCACACACACACACCTGCCCACACCTTCTCAGCACTGAACTGGGAGCTCAGACCCCCATACTTCTGTCATTAGTCATCCTTCTATTTGTCCACCCCCCCACTCCCGCCCTGACAGGACTGCCAGGTGAGGAGACCTCAGGACCATGGGTAGACTATAGCAGAAGTCTCTGAGGCATGCTGTGGTGGTGGGATGACGGTCTGAGTTGGGGAAGGGTAGCTAGAGTAGAGACAGGACCTAGGGAATCAAGGATGTCTAAGACTCAGTATCTCCAAATGAACTGCCTGACCCTTGCTTTCCCCTTCTCAAGCCTGAAGCCCCAACCCTCATGGAGAGATCAGATAAAGTCACCTTTTGAGTCCCAATGAAGGGAGCTCTCAGACCAATGAAAATACCTTGATTAGGGAGTGTGGTGGTGTTCACTTGATCTGGGTACTGCTCAGTGTCTGGGCCATGGAGTGTGCTACAGGTGGCCACAGAACCATGTGCATGTAGGGGAGGGGCAAGGGGGAAAGATCTCATTAGATGGAAGTTGCCTCTTTAGGGTTCAGCAGAATCTCCTTTAGTCCTAGGGCACAAAGTACCAGGTGAATCTTGCTAGTTTCCTATCTGCGCCCCCCATCCCAGGGGTCCTGGGGCAGGGAAGACACATTGGACAAAATAACACCTCCCTCTCTGCCTCCTGAGCAGCCCACAGACTGGGGACACGTCCTGCCCACCAAGAATTCATTCAGAAGGAAGCCAGCATGGGAAGGACAGCTTAATAATGCCAACTGTGGAGCTACCTAGTTAACAGTACCTACCCCTAATAAAGGGCAGGAGAACAAGGGGAATTAGGTACATTCTTCTGTTACCACGGTTCTTCCACTAGAGAAATAATACTGAATTCCCAAGGAAAACAGGAGTGAAGGGGGCTGGGGGTGGAGGAATGGGGGTGGAGATAAAGAGGAAAACTTTTCTCCACCCTCATCTCCCCCCTCACTTCCATCTGTTCCTTACTGGGTGATTCTGATAGGTTTAGACAAGGCCTCCTGAATGCAAAGATGTTTTGCCTGGAAAAATCTATTACAAGTTGCTATGAGAAAGACAGAAATTTTCTCCTTCTGTCTCTTTGTGCTGGTCTCTTGAGGTTCCTGCTCCAGGCCAGTCAAGGGGCAGGCCAAGGCCAGCCCTTCTGACTCCTTCCCTCCCTCATCACCATCCCCTCCTTTCCCCTTCCCCCCAACTCCTGCTTTCTCTTGTCTACTAGGTAACCAAAGCCAGCACTGGCCTTTCTGGACAGCCTTTGTTCTGCAAGGGCACTACCCTGTGCCTTCCACGTAATTGGTAGAACTGTCTCGTGTAGCCAAAAGAGATGGGTACTTTCTTCCCCTCCACTTCTCTGCTGGGAAAAACAGTCCCCTTAGGGCTGTCAGGGTTTCCCAGGGCCAAGAAGCCTGAACTAGCCACACAGCTTCTAGTTAGGAAGCACAAGCAGGCAGCCTCCCACGGGATACCTATGCTCAGCCCCAAACATCCAGGTCTCTGGATGCCACTGCCATTCCTCAGCAATGCCCCCGAGGTCTGGCACCGTCTTCTCTGGGGCCCCAAAGGCCTTGATTCTCCCAGTCTTGATGGAGCAAGTTCCCTCTCCAGAGTGGCTCTGCATTGTGGGGAGCCGAGCTAAGAACCACAGCCGTTCAGAGGACAGAATGCCCCCCCGTGCCCTTGGGTCTGACAGCAGCTCCTGACAATCCTGTGAGGCGGGCACTATATGGAGGAGGGAACTCGGACTCATGGCTCACACAACTAGTGAATCACAGGATCAGAGTTAGAGTTGGAAGGGACCTTAGCCATTGCCTGGTCCAATTCTCTTCTTTCACAGATAAGGAAACTGAGGCCCACGGATATGAGATGACATGCCCAAAGTCACATAGGCATTAAGCGGACTTGAGTGGATTGAGTCTGGGTCGCGTCTGAGCTTGACTCAGAGCTAGGACTTCTGGCTCCCCGTTGAGTGCTCTTCCCAAAGCACCATGACGCTTCTTCTCAGACCTCAGCCAGCAGCGGAGAAGAGGGTGAGGTGTTCCCTGGTATAGAAAGCACCGGGAGCTTAGCTTGGGGCGACTGCATCTAGGATGGTAGCTGCAGGGTCACTCCCCACAGCTGGAGCTTCCGCGAGGCCAGGCCAGTGATGATAATCACCACTGACATTTATGGAGTGCTCCAAGGATCGCAGTGTTTTACATACGTTATCTCACTGGAACCCTGAGAAATACCCCGAGTGAGAAAACCGAGACTGAGAAAGACTGAGACTCGCCCAGGGTCATACGGCCAGTGTCACAGGTGGGACTCAAAGCCAGTCGTGCTGATTCCCAGTTCAGGCCACGAGGGTACCCAGAGGCCCTGGCTGTGATGTGAGAGGTTCTTAGGTCCAATCTCCAGAGCAGGAGGCCTGCCTCAGGGAGCTTTCTCCAAGGGGCTGAGATATCCCAGGCAGAAATGGGCTACAGGAGAGCTCTGAGCAACTCTTGTCTCTTTCCTTCTCACCACACAGGCTGTTCTGTCCAGAGCTAGTGTTAGGAGGAAACCTGGAGTTGGGGTGGGGGTGAAGACAAGAGTGGACTCCGGAAGTTCATTAAAAAACAAAACTTTTTATTTGGTCCATTGGAGCCTGAGTCTGAAAACCACCCATGGAGAATTCGTATCATACAGGGATTACAGTTCTGATTTACAATTGACAAAATAGCCTATGTTTCATAAGAGCTGGACAGTATTTACAGGGTTAAAAATATTCACAGCTCAGACAGAATAAAAGGAAATAAAAAGGAGAAAAGGAAGGGCAGATTATAGTGTTTTAGGTATTTTTGACAGATTTTTTTTAAAAAAAGGGAACCACAGAAACAAAGGGTTGGATGAGCTTGGCTCCCCGCTGCCAGGGGACGGGGGCAGCAGGTCTGATGAGGCAGTGCAGAGGTGGGGTCCTGCGGGAGGGCCGGGGGCAGGAGCACCTGGGATTGGTGAGCTTCCTTCCCATTCTTCCCTCCTGCAGGGAGCCCGGGCTCAGACATTCACAAAACAGACACCAAAGAATTCAACATCCCACTGCTGCACCCCACTCTGGTACTGGGGGCACAGGGAATGCTGGAGGGAAAGGGTACATCTGGGGGGGGACAGGAATAGGGAGGGTGGTGGGGAAAGCAATTGCTGGGGCACTACCAACCACCTGGGCCCCGAGTCTGAGGCTCTATCCCCACTCCCACCCCAGAGGCTGGATTTTCACCCTGCGCTTCCGAAAAGAGCTGGGGCTTGAATATATGAAAGAGGATTTTGGCAACCTAATGATAGCAAGAGGCCCTCTGCAAAATGGATGCTGGGGACGAGACTAACGTGTGTACCAGGCTAACCACCTGACATTGGGATTGGCTGCTGGGAGTGGCTAGCTGGTGAAGATGGGATTGGGATTTGATCTGGGGGATATCCAAATGCGTGAAGCTGGGAGCTATGCTACACTGTGACATGCTTCTATTTAGTACTTTTCTGAAACCTGAATTATTATTCTGAAGTCTTTGTTGAGCCTGGCACTAAATCAGGCCCCTGCCCAACAGGACGCCAGGCTGGCTGGTCTCAGTTGGAGCCAGAGCCAAGTGGGAACAATGACTCAAACTGGACTTTCCCTTACCCCTGCTGCTGGGGTACAATGCCCAGAGCGGGCCCTGGGTTTAAAAACTTAGCACCTATGGAGTCATGGAGGGGAGGGATCCTAGTTTTCACAAGTGCTAGTTTTACTTAGTACAAAACTTTAAACCTCATGGGACTGGTGGCCCTATCTGTTTTGTGTTTCTAAAAGGGAGATGGGTTTCTAGAGCCCTCTAAACCCTCTAGGAACCAGAATGGGGGTTAGGACAATGATGGCCCTGATACTCTGGGATGGTAGGTTGTTCTGAGTTGGAGACAGGCCGGGCACTAGTGGCTGCAGGCCTGGGCAGCCAATGCTGGGGGCTGGGAGGGAAAGCCTGGGATGGGCTGGAACTCACTGATCCCAGTTGAGTTCCCAGGGCCACACTGAACAGGTATCCATCACATCAAGAGCCTCTGGGGCAAGAGAAGTGAGACTACTGGTCTCCTCCCCAAACGAGACAGATCTCCCACTCCATCCCAACCCTTTCCCCAGGAGGTCAGAACAAACTTGTCAGCCCTAACATCCTGAGCTCACAAGGCAGAAGAGTTTGCTTAAAGGTTCGAGAAGGAATTTCATTAAAAACAAAATGATCTGCCATTGGCAAGGTGGCCACTTAGGGATCCTATGGGCATTTTCCCTCCTACTCCTATCCTAGGCCACACTGGACACAGAATAGTTAAAACTACCACAAAGGGGCCAAAGTGAAATTCCCTGCCATTGCAGCCTCTTCCCACCCCAGGGAAAGTGGGAGCAGAAGGGAGGCCCTGTCTCTCCACCCTCAGGGCATGGCTTCTATCCTAGCACTGCTCTCTCCAGGAGTTGCATAGTATCATTGGTGGGAATGGGAGGGGAAGGGGTCATGAGGAGAGGCGAGAGAGGACCTTCTGTTGAAATCCAGGCCTTTGGACTCCCCATTTTTATTCCCATCTCCTTTAGACATAATTTTGTTCTGTTTTACTAAAAGCTCCACAACACAGTTCTGGGCCTAGCTTGTCTTCCTGCTCAGCTGCTGACAAACCTTCCTCACAGAGCATGTGAAAAACCAGGATCCTTCAGGACCCTAGTCCCTCAAACTGGGTCCCTATTACCTGGGTAAGGCTGGCAAGTGGGAAGAAGGAGATGGCTGCTGTATCCCTGAAAGGAGATGAACCAGGGAAGAGGAAGGAAGAGGTGAACTTGGACCTGAAAGCTCTGAGCCAGGTAGCTCCACTGGAAGCCTTCCTTCCATAAACACTGAAATGCCTCCAATCCTGCCCCCAAGAGTTATTTTGGTTTTTGTGGTTTGAAATCCTGGCTAAAATTTTCAAGGGGAAGGACCCCCAAATTCCCATGATAGAAGAAACTAGAAGAAGGGCTCGGAGGGATATTCCTCCAACCCACTCTTGATCCCCAACCCTTATACCCTCTTTTCTGCCCCTATCTGGATCTCCAGCAGCGTCCCAGGGACTGGCCACAGTGGAGACAAGCAGAGTCTTCGTGAGAGGTATTTTGTTTTGCAGAAGCTGATGCCACGGCTGGATCCTGGACCATGAGGGCTCACCACCACGTCACGCCGCTGGGGCCAGCCACCTTCAGCTCTCCACTCGATAAGCAGGAGGATGTCAGAATCAGGAGGCTGGTAATGCCCACTTCAGGCTACAGGACTATGTCCCTTGGGTGGGGATCCTGAGATTTCTAAGGTTCAAGCATTGTTAAGTCCCTGCCCCCTACATCTTCCGAGTCTCCCTCATAAAGTGCATGCAACTAGGGGGAGGGGAAGTGATAGGAATCCCAAGCCCAGTTAGTCTGATCTTTCCCAATCCACCCTAGGGCAGAAATAGGAAAGAAAGACCCAGGGCATGGGACTTCACTTCAGGTGTGCTGGCTCCAAGGCAGAGACTCCAGAAGAACCCTTAGAGTAATCAAGAAGACGAGGGAGTGGCTGTGGGTGAGGGAACGGGAACACAGAGAGAGGTCAGGAGATTGGTGGGTTCTGCTACCCTGAAGAGCAGAAGGGGCTGAGAACCTCAACAAACTGGGAAGGCATGAAGCGAGGAGAGGCTGGGATGGGGAGAGGAAAGTGAGATGCCCCTAGAAGGGCAGAACATGGGTCATAGGGGCCGGGGACCGTGGAGCCCAGCAACCTCAGGTGTGAGCAGAGGATTGTGGGTCCCTTTGGTGGACATCCAATCGTTGAGGAAGGCCTGGGCAGCCTTTCGATGAGCCAGGCGGTGTGTGATGGAGAAGCCGGCGTTCCCCTCCAGCTGGGATAGGATCACCAGCACCTGCCTGAAGGAGAAGGACCAGGTGATGGAGCTAGACAGAACGGAGGAAATTCCTGCCCTCATCCTCGTCATGTTGGCACCAGGGGCTGACACCGCCCAGAGGTTGCTTTGAAGATGAGCGGCTATGAAAAGCAACCCACTGAGGATACTAGGACACGTGCCAGGAAAGCGCCCTCCTCGTCATCATCCACAATCTCTCTCCCCATGAGGGCTCCTGTTCAGGGAAGGGGCCAAGGTTTAACAGGACGCTGGCAGCCAGCAGGGCCTCACCTGTGCAGGGGTGGGACGCTGTCCTGGGTCTTGAGGCTGCCTCGGGTGGAGACTACATTGAAGCTGTCGGTACAGTCACATTGCACGTGCAGGTAGGACTTGGGATGACGGTTCTCTACGACCACAATCAGGCCTGCCCAGCCGTGTGTCAGGTAGTAGCAGGTCATGCCCTCCCGGCCCTAGGGCGAAGGGGGATGGCATTTCTCCCATGTCAGTAAGTCCTCCTTTCCTCCCTATGCCCCATCCCCATCCCCATCCCCATCCCCAAACAAATGACAGATGAGCAGTTTTCTGATGGGAAGAAGGGGGTGCCTGGACAGCTCTGGCTCAGCAGGGACCACCCAAGTCCACAGCTTTTCAGCTGGTGCCCTCTACTGGCCTTCTGAAGAGCTGCATTCGAGGAGAGCAGAACCAGAGAGGAACCAGAGAAAGCAAGGACCGTCTTGTCCAACTTCCTAACTCCCCAGATAAGTAAACTGAGGTCCAAAGAAGGGAGTGACACACTCGGAGGGAGCAGAGCCTGGATCTGAAACAAGTCCATCCACATCCCAGTGCTCATCACAGACAACCCCCCTGAGGTCCTGTGACAGAGCTGGTCCTCTGGCTTACTGAAGCATGAAGAGAAGCAGGGAAGTCCACCATTAACTGGGGGAAGGACCGGCAGCCCTGGGCCAGCTCTGGAGCTCCTCCTCTTTCCCTCCCTGCACCCAGCACCTACCTCATGCCTTTCGCCCTTGTTCTCAGTCAGGAGGATGATGGCGTCGGCCAGAGTGGTGGGCTGGGCTTCAATCTGCTCCACCATGACCAGTCTCGAGCTGTAGATAGCCAATATGTGCCCAGGAGGTTCTGGGGCACTGCGCCCTACTCCTCCTGTCGGGCTGGAAACTGGGCAGGGGCAAAGCAGTGATGGGAGAGGCCTGAGTGCAGGCAGACATTTCAGCTTCTCCATCCCCTGCAGACCTTCCCCATCTACTGCTGGGGATATATCCCGTTCTCATGGACAAGGTCTCCTTGACCCCATTCCCTAAGTCCACCTACTCTGATGGAATAAAAGGGAAGCAAAGGGAATAGTGTCTCTAAAAAGAAAGAGAGATCACAGACTCTCCCAAAGGATTTCTTTCCACCTTGGCCCATCCCAGCTGGGACCTTGAGCCTAATCCATCCTACACTGCAGAGGACACCTTTCTTAGACACTTATCAGGCTTCTCAGACAAAACTAGAACTCCTGATCTCAACCACCTCCAATCACAGATTAAGGCTTAGAAAGGACCCTGGAGCTCACCTACATTTCCTTGAGGAAGGCTGTCTATGCTAAGAGGTTCTGCTCTGGGTCTTTGGCTTTGATCCAGGCAGATAGATATAAGGATGGCTGGCAATGTGGCAGTTTCAAAATTCTGTTATTTGAACCAGCAGATATTTTCACACATTCTATGTCCCCTGGCCTAACCAGGGTCCCCTTTGTGGGCTAAGATGGGTTTTTACCATCCTTTGAATCTTCAGATAGCATTCAACATAGGATCGGACACCTAGGAGATGCTCATTATATCACCATGATTTCAGCTCACATTTACATAGCACTTTATCGTTTATGGAGCAAGAGAGGTAGCAAAAATGTTAAGATTTTTGTTTTACGGACTCAAGAGGCTATAATTTGCCCAAGGGCATAATGCTGGTGAGAAGCATAGCTAGATTCAAAGCCATGGGAACCTCCTCAAAAATCACAGAATTTTCAAACTAGAAGGGACCTTATGAGACCAAGTGGTCTAACTACTTTATTTTACAAAAGAGAAAACTGAGTCCCAGGTGAGTTAAGTAATTTGACCAAGGTCACCCAGTCACTACATCTGTATCCCTGACTGACAAATTTTTGTCTTGTCTCCTCTGTTCTCTCGCCTGCATCAGCCAGTGCCCTCTCCCTGGCTGCCCAGGTCACGTCCGAAGCGCAGCTGCTGTTCCTGATGGGTTGGGAAGCTGCACACAGCCAGTCCTTACCCTGAGCGGTTGAGGCGGGGCTCCAGTGGTTGAAGGCACAGCACACAACGGCATACTCCCCTGGCTCCAGCATCACGTCACAGTTCACAAACTTCTTCACTGCCCGTTTGCTGTGGGCCAGCAGTCGGCCCAGGCTCAGCTTATTCCCGCTGCTGAAGGTTGCTCGGAACACCATGATGCAGAGGTCCAGGAGATGGCTGTCAACAGTGTCTGACCGTCTGGAACGGGACGGGGAGGGGAGGCTCTGGTCAGGATCCTAAACCCCCTCTGTCCTGGGGAGAATGCCATGCTCCCAGGCTTAGGGGCTGACTAAATGGTCACCATGTGGGGATGGTTGTAATGATGTCACCCACCCTGAGGAAGAAATCCACCCAGAATGCCTCACCAAACAGGGTTTGCTGTGCCTTGGAGGCATCTTAGTATGTCACAGGAGCCCAGGGCAGAGCTCATTCTACTGTCTGCTGGCTACTCTTAATATTCTCTCCTATTCTGAAGTTTTCCTAGATACACTAACTCTTATCTCCCAAACTTTCATACAAAAGTCAAATCAAAGGTGGCCAAGATCAGAAGTCTTTCCACTTTCCTATATCCTCACCCTACTCTTTTTTTTTTTCCAGACAAAGACAAGGTTTATTAGAACATCTGTCATATTGGGCAGACTCTTAAGGAATCTGAGCAGTGGCTAGATTGTAAGAATCTGAGCATCTTGATGGAGACAAGATGGACCTTAGAAAGACTATGGGAGGGATCTAGGAGTAGCCAAGTAGTCTATGAGGTAATGGAATTCCAGGGACCTGGACCACGTGGCCAAGGGAGGATGGAGCCTAGATAGGATTAAGGGTGGGAAGTGGCCTGGGGCCATAGTCACCCTGCCCTTAAGCTCTACCTTGGAGAGGGGTAAGTAGTGTTAACAGAAGCAGGAGTATAGAATACCTCCAGAGCAGTTCCCTGGTGACTCTTGAACTATCTCCACACTACCTGGTCTGGCACTTACCTGCTCCCCTCCTGGAAGAGAGCAAACTCCAGGGTGGCTCGTTCTAGCACAGTCAGGGAGGTCACCATGATAGGCCTGCTTGCCTTATTGGGGAAGATACCCTGCACCCGTACTTCATGCCAGTCTGAGTGGATCTTGCAAATATCAACAGAATCAAAGTACCTGCAGGAAGGAGGGTGAAATTAGAAGGCCAAATCATCTGGGGGCTACTCTGTTGACCATACACCTCACTGTACAGCGTTGACAGTAAAACCACAAAGATCCTTGGCCTTTCCTCCATGGGGATGATGGCTAGAGTTCACTTCTCTGGGTTCTAGGCTCCCCATCTGAGTTTCTTTTCCCTTTGGAGTCTCAGCTCAGGCTCTTCAGAAAGTCTGAAGAGAGAGAGGGCAGCCTAGAGGTTCTTGACAATGCCATCCCAGGCCCCTTATTCCTGGGAAGCAGGAGCCCCCATAATACTGAGGCCTTAGATTTGCCCTTTCTTTTCCATTCCACCTGCTACCAGTCTAATCCAAGTCTTTCTCACTTCACACCAGGATAATAACAGCCTCCTAGCTAGTGAATAGGTCTCCAATCAATCTTGCACACATTACCAATTTAATTTCTCATGCATACCTTCAGTTCCTGCGCCCCTCCCCCATCCCCTTTCTAGTTCTGTAAGCAATCAAATCAATACAGCTCTTTCTACTAGAAAGAGCATGTCAATCTATTCCCCAAAGGCTCCAAAAGGTGTTCTTATGATTTTCCAAACCAAAAAACCCCTTCTTGGATAGCACTTTCTTACATGTGTTGTATCTTCCTATTGGAAAGTAAGGTTCTTGAGGGCCAGGACTGTCCCATTTTTTAAATTTGTACTCCCAGGGCTTGGCACAATGCTTTGTGTATACTAAACACTTAATAAATGCTTTTTCATTCATTCACTCACTTATTCACTGTACTTAAACATTCAATGGCTTTCCCAGTGCAAATTCCTCAACCTAGCTTTCAAGACCCTTTAGAACCAAGCCCTCCCCACCTATCCTGATTCACGTTTGTATAGTATTTTAAGGTTTACAAAGCACTTTTTCTTCCATAACCCTGTCAGTTGGGTAGTCCAACCTCGATTTTGCAGATGAAGAAACAGGCAGGAGGAAGTTAAGGGACTTGCTAGTAAAAGAATAAGAATCTCCATCCCCCCAGAATTTCAAAGTTGGTAGGAACCTGGGTAGCCATTCAGTCCAACTCAGACCGGAAAAACAAGTCACTTGCAGTCACGCACTTAGGAAATGGCAGAGGTAGAATTCAAACTCCCTCACGTCTTGGGATTCCAGATGCAAAATTCTTCCCTCCAGCTTCCACAACCCAGCCAACCTATCTTCTCTTCTCTTCTCTCTCTCTCTCTGTCTCCTCCCCACTCCCACCATTGCCTGCCTTGCTTCTTGAATATGTCAGGCTAATTTCTGTTTCTATGCTTTTGCTTCCACTCCCCAAGCAGGCTCTCAGCTTTCTCATGGAAGGGATCATGTCCCTTTCTTCCCTCCTGTCTTCTCAAAAGCATCTAACCCTGCTGGGCATTGGTAAGAAGCTAGGCCTAGAACTCTCTCTCTTAATCTATTTCAATAAGCATTAATTAAGTACAGACGCTATGCTAGGGCCTGGAGCTCTCCAAACAAAAATGAAAACCGGCTCTTGCCCTCGAGGTGCTTACGCTTATAATGGGATCTGTAGCCTGCACAGATAAGTAAACACAAGGTAATGGGGAGAAGGGCAATAACTGGGAGATGAGGAAAAGGAGGGGTCTCAGGAGCTGATCCTTTAAGGAAATTTAGGGATCAAAAGAGGTAGAGGAAAGAGTGCATCCCAGGCATGGGGGCTAGAGACAGAATGTTAAGGGTTTAAGAAACAGCAGGTAGAACACTTTGCCTGGAATCCGGAACAAATGGACAAGAACAATATGAAATAGGTCTGGAAAGATAGCTTAAAACCAGGCTGTAAAAAACATTAAATGCCAAGGTGGGGAATAGACTGCAAGCTGCAGGAAGGCAGGAGCTATGCCACATTCCTGTCTGTTCGCCATCCCACCAGCTCCAGGCCTAGGCTCCTGTAGAGAACGGGTGCCCAAGAAATCTTTCTCGCCTCTTGCAGACGCTGCCATTCCCCACCAGGTGGTGCAAGGATCCCAGGGATAAGCCTCATGGGGGATGGGCAGGGGGAGAACTTCTGCCAGGTGCTCCTGATACATTATCTAGACTTACCCATCAGGTGGCCTGCAGTTCAGAGGCCCATGTTTTCCTACCCCAGGGAAAACAGAGCTCCTCACTTGGATGGATCAAGAAGCAGCCTAATGGTCCCTTGTTCCCCTCTCCCCACACTGGGAATGTGAAGCTCTCGTTCTTCACTCCCGTGTCTGATTGAGTCAGAGATCCCATGAACTGGAAACATGATAATCCAGTCACTCCAATCTGGAATCTACTGCCGGGCCCCAATGGATCCAGGGTCTCAACTCACTCCTTCAACATCACTGCTGTGTGGGTGCCAACAGGCCCCACCCAGTCTTATGAACTGGCCTTTGGCTAGCAAGCACCCAGCCTTCCACACAGATTAAGTCCTCTGACCCTCTCCCACCCCCAGAAGGCCCACTACTCCCTTCTTTGTCCCAGACCTTAAACGCCTGGACTTCCCACTCCAGCTATCAGCTTTTGCCCAAAAGAAATAGGGGCTACCGTGGCTTGCCTGGTTCGCCCTGTGGCACTGATGACCTTACTTAACTCTCTTGGAGGGAGGAATTGCTCTCAGCAACTCAACATTTGTATTAGCACCAGTATGCTGTGCGAAGATGAACTCTCAGAGTAAACAGCATGGGCCCACGGAATTCACAAAACTCCAAAGGGATATGAGGCAGGGAGCCTTGGACCTGCTGCTCTGACTGGGAGATGCCCCACGGAGACCAATGTCCCCAAATTATCCGGTGAGGTGCCGCTCCCAGTCCGAATTCACCTAAGGACAGCCTTCGGAGAGGGTACATCCATTCTCTGGCGTCCTCTGCACCAGCCAACCTTTCACAAAGGGCTCTAATAAGCTCTCTGGGTATTCACTCCTTCACAAGGCTCTGAGGGCAGGCAGAAGGAAAAGGACAGGAAGTGTTATTTTCATTGGGCAAATAGGAAGACTGGTAGCCATGCCCATCCTGAATGGCAGTTCAAGTCTCGCCCAAAGCTGCAGCTGCTGAGTGTTCAGTCCAGTTCACAAGTAATGGAGATTTGCTCACCTATTCTCAAGGTAACGATTCCCAAGCTCTATGGCACCTTCGTGTCATCCAGCTCAGTCTGCCATACATTTCCTCTATCCCAGCCACTCATTTACCTCATGAAGTCACTGTACTCCATCCAGAAGACCCCCTCACTGCTGCCATGGGGCATCAGATCATGGCGCAGGTGCCCAGGCCAGTGAGGCCATTCATCTGACCAGCTGCCATTCCAGGAGAATCGTCCCCAAGGGTTCCGAAGTCGGAGAAGCCTGTAGCAAGCAGAGTGTGACAGATGAAGGCTGCTGAACTGTTAGCCACCTGAGACACTCACCCCCTGGCAGCAGGTCTCAAGAAGCTGTCATCAGTTATTAAAGTCCTGTGCTCTAGAGACAAGCTATTTCAGAGAGCACATTTGTACCCTCTGGTCTTCAGAACAGTTTGGATAGTGAGCTCCTCTCTCCCTCCCTGCTGCTTGGTGATGGAATTCAGGAGGCCTTCAGTACCCCAGAAACTCTAGCCCCTTCAGGCACCCTCTGGAGACTTAGGCTCGTGGGTTTTTGCCATTTCTTTCCTCATGAGGCAGGGTCAGGGTCCCCTGATGTGCTCACCTGAAGCCTTGGACATCTCGGACATCCAGAATGGAGTAGGCATGGCGGGGGCGGAGTCCCATGCTCTCGTAGGCTGCATCATCTACCTTCATGTTACCCCCTCCGCAAGAAGCACCCATAAGGAACCTATAAGCAAGGACACAGCACAGCCCATGCTGACGGGGCAGTGCCAGATTCAGCCAGGACAGGGCAGCTGAGAGTGCCAAGTCCACTGCCCCATTGCAGCATTTTGGGGAATAGGTGGGACTGCAGGCCCTTAGACCAAGTGCTCTCTCATCCCAAAAGTAGGAGTTGTTCTACCTTCCTTCAAACCTAGAAGGCACCAAAAAGAAGGCCTCCTGAGGCTGTACTGTTCCATAAGATATAGCCATTTGTACAGGTAATCTCAACACTGAGATAGTACTCAGTGGTCTACGGATAGGGGCACAAGTTCCAAAAAGGCAACCTAGATATTTAATACACACTCCTCTAACCTCTACAAGATAGGCTGGGCATGATAAGAGCTGGCATTTTCCCAACCCTCTCAGACGGTTTTCTAAGATTTACTGTTAACCCCCATAGAGTTTCCAGAATGGAGACTGCCAACCTCCAGACTTAGAGGCAGGAGAACTCTCAGGAGTCCTTTTATATAGGCTCCAACCCTGGGACGAAGAGGTGGTCCCCATAGATTCCCAGAGAGTCATCTCTGTTCAGGTCCCTCATCCCCAGTCCGGCAGGTAGCACTAATTATATTGTAGCCATGAAACTAGTTTCATGCCCAGGACACTTCCCAGGGCTACACAATTCCAAGTCCAAGCCTGTTTGGGAAGGGCACAAAGCAAGAAAGCGGCAAACAGCAACAGTGGTGGTACTCAAGTAAAACAAGCCCTGTGGACCGTTCTCCCTGGCTCTGTGTGGACTGGTACAAATATCCGTCTCTGAAGGCCTTCGCTAGTTCCTCTTCATTTTATAGCCAAAGAAAGTCAAATGCTGGAGAAGCTGTGTAATTTGTTCTGGCTCACACAGGAAACATTACAGGGAGGATCAGAAATCCAGTCTCCAACTCTTTCCTAGGCAGCAGGAAGGGCTGCAGCCTCCCAGGACTCCTCAAGCAAGGAGTCAGAGACTGCTCCCCTCAACACTTTGCAGATGGCAGAACTGAGGCCCTGAGGGAGAGAAGAACTAACTCCCTATATATCACCAGGAGGGAAAGGAACTAAATTCAATCCAAGTGTCTCAACTGCCTGACAAATTAGGTGCTTCCTACAATGGGTGGATGGCTGCCCCAGGGCAGCCCCTCTGTGCTGAGGGGAATGTTTGACTCTGCTCTTCCCTTTTTGCAAACTTTCTGCATTTTGTCTTGAGGTTTCACAGGCTGGAGTGGGCATAAAGACCACAAATCCCCGCTGCTCCGTGGAAGAGAAGCCTCTTGAATGGGGGAAGATGTCTATTCCTTCCTGTTGATCCCATCCCTTCATGGCATCAGTCTGTGTCCTTCGTGCTGCCCTGGCAAAGCCTCAGTCTCATAGTCTCCAGTGAGGTACCTGACCTCTGTCCACTTGGGGGGCACCATCAATGGTTTTAAAGCAATGCCAGTTCCCCACCCCACCCCCCACCTCCAGTCTAGGGGCTTTGTCAAGCCCACCCTCAGATGGGAGGATGATCTTCCAGCTGGGGAAACCCTCATTTTGACTCCTGGGTATGTACTACTGGCTCTTTCTAAAACTTCCCCTGGACCTGTTTCTTCAGTGTAGTTGGAAAAATATCATTAATGTGTTAAGAACACAAAGCAAAGTAACTCTCCTCAAAAAAACAAAAACAAAACAAAACCCAAAAAACCCTAGGTCCAAGGGGTATCTTGCCAAGGTTCATAAAATGTCTGTCAAGTCCAGATTTCTAGATCTTGGGAGTAGTCACTCTAGCTTTTCAGAGTCAAGGAGGGCCTACTGTCCTGTGTCCCTTTTCCTCTCCTCCCAACTTTTCTGACTGCTGAGACCCAGCCCCTCCCACCTCCTCTTACCCAGCCTCCTTAGAACTCAGCATTTTGGCCCAGATGAGGTCAGTGTCAATGGGCTCCTCCCGGGGGTTAGTGGAGCTGACCTGCAGCATCAGACTCTCGCAGGGGGCACCAGTGAGTGTGGCCAGGCCTTCGATGGCACGCCCCGCTTGGAGGGCAAAGTACGAGCCATGCAGCTTGGCCAGAGCCTTCTCCATGAGAGCAACCCACAACTGTTTCCGCTGGGCCTGAATGGAAAGATGAGAGTGAAGGCACTTCAATAACGGAGCAGGGGCCAAAGTGTTGGCTTCCCCTCTATCAACCATGCTCCCCTAACCCCAAAGAATCCACCCCCAATGGGCAGCCATGAGACTCCCACTGCTTGCCTCAAAAGATTAAGTTCACCTGCCCTTCCTGCGACCTCCTGCCCAGTGAGTGATAGGCCCCTGTTGGTGGCCCTTTGAGTTTCTTTATGCTTAGTATCTTGACCTCTGAAGCCCTCTCTGCTTGTAGAAGCCCAGTGGCCTGGCAGGAAATGGAAAGGAGGGAGCACTGACCTGAGAGAAGAGAAGGTACCCACACTCGTCACAGGGCAGCATATCATCAACCAGCACTGTGGTCCATGTGCCATCCTTGCATAGCCGAACCTGGTATGCCCCTTCTGGACAGAGAGTACGGGTGATCATCACCCGCTCCACCAGCTCTGGGCGCTCAGCCAACACTGCCAGGGCACTGAGAAACCTGTCAAAAGGGGATGGCTCAAGCCAGATCACCCCTGAGCCACCACACCCTGTCCAGCCCACTCCCTTGTCCCTCAGAATAGATGCAGAGCCCTGACTATTCCAGCCTCAGGCACATACCCCCTCCCCAGTGTCTAAGTGGGTAGGTTATGGAGAAGAAGGTGGCAAGGAGGCCCTGGACTCTTCAGATCAAACTACAGCATCTCCTCTTTCACTCCCTAGTCTGGGAGTTCTTAATCTTGCATCATGGACCCCTTTGGTTGCCTGGTGAAACCTATGGAGGACCTCTACTTAGAATAAGATTTTTTAAAAGATATTTTTAATTGAAGTGCTAAATTTCAGTTAGAGGTTAGTAGAAATAAAGATGTCATTGTTTTCCCAACCAAATTCAGGGACCCTCTGAAATCTACTTTCCACAGACCCCTTAGGTTCATAGACCACAGGTTAAGAACCCCTTCCTCTTCAGAGCCAACTGAACTCCAGAGGATGTGGAACTAAACACAGCCTCTAGGGCCACAGTCATTCCAGACCAAGGCAGCGTCTCTGGGTCTTTTTCAAGCAAGTCTTTAGGGGTGAGAGGACAACCGGCTCCAGGAAGAGCACCCCGCAGCTTGCAGACTCCTAACGTGCCAGAAGCAGAAGAGATGTTCAAGATCATCCAATTCCCCTCACTTTATAGAGGGAAACTGTGGCCTAGAGTGAGCAAATAACTTGCTACGGTCCCAGAGCCAGAACTAGAAGCCAGGTCTCCCAAGTGCTTTTTATCCCACACTACTTCAAGACTAAGGCCCTACGAAGCTGGCTCCTCCTAATGGGAGTGTGTGGCTGGGTGAGCTGGGCAGGAGTCAGATTACTGGTGAGTGTGACTTAATCTTCTTCATTGCAATGTAGCAGAAGTGAATCCCTCACTCTGGAGTACCAGCAGGAAGATCACTGCCAGCATGGGAGATTCCAGATTCCCAGCAAAAGCTATCTTAATTTCCTGGCTTCTTTACCACTTGATAATTCATCTCACAGGATCACAAACCCTGACCAACCTTGAGGCTAATGTGGTAAGAAAGATCTGTTTTGCCTTGAGTGGTGGGAACAGTAGCACTAGTATCCCTTTCCAATGCCAAGGACCATCTGGTAACATGATCCCTTACCAACAGTTCCCTAGGAGCCCCTGCAGGATGTCGGAGGGCCGAGGTGTCCGGAACACTGACCATCCGACTGTCTGGTCCTTGAAAATGCTACAGTTGATTTCATGAGGTCGTAACCACTGCTTTACCCGCTGCTGGACACTGTCCCCTTCAGGGAAGCCCACAGACTGAGGACCAGGGGGAAAGCTGTCATCCACAAAGTTCACTTTGTTCTGAGAAGAAAAAAAAAACAAAGTCCAAACACAACTACACTCAGGGGCTGGCAGGATTGGGTACCAGAATCCCAAGGAAGACCTGACACTAGCAGTCATGCCCTGGAAAACAAAGCAGCCCCTGTCACAAACAACATCTTGAATACATTTCCTCCATTGTTTAGGCATCATCTCTGCCCTGGGATAGTGGGGGGGGAAGGGGAGGTGGGACAGAGAGGAAGCAGGCTTCCCAGCTCAGAGCTGCTTGATGTCCTGAGGAGGTTGCCAGGACTTACCACCTGAGAAGCAGTCAATAAAAACTTTGAATCAAAAAATGGCTGTGGTACGGTTCAAAATAATAATCACTTGTATTTATACAGCTTTATACTTTCCAAAGCAGTGTCATATCCAAAATTCCATCTAAGCATAACCATACTGCAAATATTATTTCTATTTTTCAGATGGGGAACAAGATGCAGAAACATTAAATGACTTGCCTGAAGTTACACATAGAGTTAGCAGTGGTAGTTTAGTATTTTTCCCCTTGCAAAGACTCAGGGGGTGGCTACTTTGATACTTGTTAAATTCTTATCTCTGGTACAAAGTAATCTTGGAGGCCTTCCAGCAGGCCTTGCCCTAAACTGTAATTTTCCTTATGTGTGGAGAAGTCACATCTCCATTTCATAGAGGGAATACTGGTAGAAAAAGACTTTGATATTCAGCATTTGTTCTTGATACTCTTTTCTCCCAATCTACTTAAACCACTCCCTCTCCCTGCCTCTCCCATAGGTCTTACATTTCCCTGAAAATATTGAAGCCATGTGTCTGAAGATCACGTTTCTCTTTAACTCTACAATTCAAATCACTTCTATATCAACTCTCATTCTCTCCTCCTTTGCTTCAAGCTCAGAGGAAAAAGTGAGCCTTCTCTTTGCAAATACCAAGTCCTCCACGCTACCCCCTGCTTCTTTATCCCTGCTGCTCCTCCCTCAGCTGACAAGCGCGCACAGACAACTTCAATCAATCATCTACTTCCTCATTAATTTTCAGTCTCTCCTCATCCACTGGCTCCTTCCCTGATGCTTACACACATACTCTAATCTCCTTCATCCTTAAAAAAAAAATACATAAATCCACGTGTTCTTACCATCTCTTTAAACTACTGTCCTAAAGACCTCTCCTTCCTTAGACAATGCAAGAAATGGGGAGAAGGCAGCAGCAATGGGGCTGGAGCAGAAGATGCCTTATAGGACCATTCTCTTGAACAGACCTTCTGGAAACAAGAGTCTACACTTATTACCTTCACTTTCTCACCTTCCACAAACTTCTCAACTCCTTGCAATGTCTTCCTACACCATGCAACCAAATTTGCTCCCTCCAAGGTTAAAAATGATCCCTTAATTGCCAAATCCAATGATCTCTTCTCAGTCCTCATCCTTCTTGACCTTCCTGAAGCATCTGATACTGCTGACTACCTCCTTCCCCTAGATACTCTCTTCTTCCTGGGGTTTTATAACACTACTAGTGATCTCATTAGCTTCAACTATCATCATGGGTTCACCTATCATCTCTACGCAAGTGATTGCCAGATCTATCTGTCTGTCTATCCTCCCACAGTTTCTCCCAAACCTTAGTCCCAGATCTCCAAATGCCTGATGGATTTCTTCAATTGATCTTCCATAGTCATTGCAACATGTCCAAAACTAACCTAATTTCCTGCTTTTCCCTCTTTCTAATTTCCCCATATCCTTAAGAAGCTTCAGTGACTCTTTTCTTCCTCCAGGATAAAATGCAAAAGCCCTCTGTTTGGTTTTCAAAGCCATTTACAATCTGGCACAACCTATTTTCCCTGGCTTATTTCACCTTACTTTCATTCACGCCTGCTCCTCAATGCTAAGGACCAAATGGGAGGCCTGAAGAAAGAGAAGTATAGGATGGGGACGGGGACAGGAATGGGACCTGTGATTTTAGTGACAAGGAAACTCCCAGTGTAGGCCAGCAACTTCTCTGCAAACTATACCTTAAAAGGGCACTGAGCGGATAAATGATTTGTTTGGGTCACACGGCCAGTAGTTGCCAGAGGTATGACTGAACCTTGGATTTCTTGGCCTCAAGGCCAGCTCTCTATCCTTTATGCCACAATATCATATGCCAGAAATTGAGAATCTGGACACAGGTGATCAGATGAAGATGAGTTCTCTTTGCAGCTGCAATGTATGACTCAAGGGGTGATCAGTACAAAGATGGGAGCCTGAAATCAAATGGCAGGGAGAAAAAAGAAGACGATATTTCTGCATAAAATCCAAATGAAAATTTCCAAATCTGTCACTACGGAAATAATTTCATTTCCTGTGGCTTGACCAATAGCTTCAACACAGGCTAGACTAGCCACAGTCAACAGCCTACTAGGGGATAACAATTGTTAAGGTCACATCCTATTTTCCTAGCCTGAGCTAGGGGACTCCAGCAATAGACTGCTTCCTACTGACAAGGAAGAAGGCATCCCTGGGCCTCACTCCATCCTACCCATTTGTTCCCTAATCTTCCGGCTTCCAAGGAAGCTTCTACCTCAAAGAACTCGGAGGTAAGGGTCACAGATTCAAAATCCCTAGAAGGACCTTTTTAAGTAATTTCACATCATTGGTCTCCTAGCAAGGCCATACTTAAAAGAGATGAAATTCATTCTTGTTTTGTATAGATTTGCAAAGGCACTTACATACTTTCCTTTGGTCTTTGGCTCCAGCAGCTACCAACCCTGACTCTGAGGACATTCTTTCCTTTGCTGCCTGACGTTCTTCAAAGAGAGCTTTCTGAGATGACAGGGGTTGGGGCTGCTCCCTGGTGAAAGCTGATTCATAAAGTTAGAATAACGCTCCCAGCTTTGCTGAGTCTTCCCTCATCCAGAAGGGAGCGAAGCTACAGCAGGCATGATGACTGCTCTACAGGAAGAGGCAGAGAAAAGTATAAGATTCTGGGCTTAAAGAGGCTTTGCTTGCCCTGGGAAGCTAGGTCTGAACTCTACCTACTCTCGCTTAATCTGCCTCTTCAACCTTTAGTGCACAGAACATAGTCAAAGCACCTGAAGACATGGAACGGGGAAAGGGATGAAAGAAAATTCAGACTTGGGAGGTCACCTAGGCGATCTGGTCAACTTAGGGTAAAAGCTCACTCAAAATGTCTCCTCAAGCAAACTGTCTGCCCTGAACATTTTCTGGAATCACCACAACCTTCCTTAGGAATATATTCTGGTGTTTGCCTCTTCATAACAATGTTTCTAATGTTTAAATCAAAATCCTACACTACCGCAATTTAAACCTGTTCGCTTGTTCTGTCCTCAAGGGAGAAAAAAAAAGTTTGCTATAAAACTAGATACGCTCAAAAACTTCCTTAACATCATCGAATCTTAAAGAGTTGTAAGACGACATGAGAGGTTGTCTCAACCAAATAAGGAAGCCTGTCTAAAATGTCTCCTGAAAGTCGTCATCTGGCCTCTGTTTGAATACCTCCAGACACAGGGAATTTACTATTCTCCTTCCGAGGCAGGCCAGTCTATTTTTGGATATCCCTCTAAGTTCTTCCTCCTATCAAGCAGAAAACTGTTTCTTGTTCTACTCTAGTTCTGTTCTTCGGGAAAAGCAGAGCAAGTCTTATCTTTCTGGAAAAAGATATCAAATATTTAGGCCACTTTGTGGGGCTGTCCCCATCTCCAGCATCCACTTCTTGCCCACCTCTCCTCACTTTCTTCAAGATCAGGTCAGATACCACCTGCTCGCTTCTCAGATCCTTCAAGGGATTAGAGCTCTCTCCCTCCTCAGGTCACTCTGCATTTACTGAGGAGCAGAGGGAAGCTCCCCGAGGGCAAGAGTTATTCTATTTGTTCTTATGTCCTCACTACAGAGCAAAGTCCTGGGCACGTAAAAACACTGAGTAAAGGCACTCAGTAAAATGTTCTTTTCAGTAACATGTACTTATTTTTCTCCCCCACCCCCCACTTCTCCCTGCCTTGCTAACCTGAATTGTAATCCATAGAGGGTGATAAACACACGGGCTATTATGATAACTTTTCAGATATTTGAAGACAGAGACTATGTACTTCGGCCTCCCACCCACCCAGGCCACCCCACCACGTGCATGTCTCTGCTGCTCTGAACCTCCCTATCTAGACCAGCATCCTTAACGCGGACCTAGAACACAACACCCTGACTCTCCAGAGTCCGTGTCCCCAGTCCCTAGGGAAGTGGTTCATTCATCTCTGGAGTTCTAACCCAGATGACTGGTGCAAAATGTGAGCTAGTCCTTTCAGCCAACTGTATCTCGGGGCTGGCTTGGGATACTAGCCCACATTTTATCTTCTTATCCCATTCAGCCATCCAGAACTGACCCATCACCACATATGTACCATCTTGCCACTCCCCACCCTTTCCACTTCTTGCTCTGGAAACAGTAATTAAATCAATAGTATTATGACTCTGTCATATGAATAAATGAACTCACCATCTCTGTGACTCTCCAAGATTAAAACTCCCTTCCCTGGCCACTGCTCCTCCATATATGTTGTCCAAAAAAAAAACCAAAAAAAAAAAAAAAAAACCAGACAATCCCCATATTCAAGGAGCTCACATCCTATTAGGGGAAGACAACATATATGGAGGAGTATCCAAAGCTGGTGGTACAGTGGAGAGAGCTTGGGGCCTGGAATCAAGAAGGCCTGAGTTCAGATCTGATCTCAGACACTTACCAGCTGTATGACTCTAGGCAAGCAAGTCACTTAATCTCTGTATGCCTCAGTTTCCCCATCTATAAATGAGGGCAACAATAGCACCCACCTCACAGGGTTGCTGTGAGGATAAAATGAGATATTTATTTATTACATTTTTAATTAATTTATTTTGAATTATCAACAATCACTTCCATAAGCTTCTGAGTTTTAAATTTTTCTCCCCTTCCCTCCCCAAGACAGCATGCAATCTGATATAGGCTATACATATATATTCCTATTAAACATATCTTCACAAAAGTGA